TGGTGTAGGAAGTAGTAAATGCGAGCATTGCGGAGAGTGGGCACCGTTTGTAGCAGTTAGATTAACGTGTCTGCAATCCTTAAATGCTTTGGGAAAGGGGGGGAACAGGTCCATGACGTAGGAAGTGGTATAGAAAGAGCAAAGGCGAGCAGTGTGGAGTGGGGCAACTGTTTGTGGCATTTGGATTAATGTAGGCTATCTGCAATACTAAGACTGCTGTCAGAATAAACTAAAAATGATTTTCCTCGAGCACAACTTGGTCCCCAGGTATTTAGTAGAATACAATGATGTAAATTTGAGCTCAAAATAACAGCTGGGTTAAAAAAAGTAGCAGATTCAAGAAATATTTGAACGGTTGCCGTTTTGACTCGGTTGTTTGTTTGAATTTGGGTTTATGGCAATGTATTTTACTAATTAAACCTTCAATTAAAAACCTAATTAAACCTTTTTTCTCAGCTCCTGTGCACCGCAGGGAAAATCTACGCATACTTTCAACTGATTTCAGCATATTGTTTTTAAATTTACCCCCCAGGCCACCCAGTGGGCCACCCCTAGCGACCCCTGTTTCAAGTACGCTCTTGCCACCCCCCCCCCCCCCCCCAGTGTTAAAAATGTACCAAGGCAGTACACCTTCAAATTTGGTAGAGTTTCCTTATGATTTTGTTGCTGATCTTTTTATCCAGGAAAGTACTCGACCGGATGAAAAGCAACAGGCCATTCAATCATGGGGTAATTGACACTGCAGCCTTAAAGCCTTTAGCCATTCATGTGTACTCCAATACTCCGACCCAACTTCCCTCTCACCTTTAACACTGTTTTTGCCAGCAGGGTAATACAGTAGGAAAGTACAAGTAATTCAACAACAAAGTTTACTATGGTGTGTGGGCCTACTTTAAGTTTTAGATGAATAACATAGGCCTACAGTAAATTACCAAAGTTCAAGAATGGTTATATTAAGAATAAAAACCTCTCTTGATTATAAAAAAAATTGGCTGCACTTCAGTTTACGTCCTTTAACAGTGAGGTTCTTACATTATTTGATTGTTGTGTTGGTAACACTGTTTTGAAACTTTATTTGCACATTGGTGACTTCCGTTATGATAGATATGCTACGCTACAGTACTATTATAATTATCCACTTTTAAAACTATGTTAAGTGCCGAAATTTTATCGTAATGACTGTGGGTTATTTTAATACCCAAAAGTGAAAATACAACAAGTAGGCTATGTTAGTGTGTAAATTGAGTAGGTCTACCTATGAAAACAAATCTAGGTATTTTTTAAAAGATAAAAATACCCCCGCCGCAGCAAACCTGCAGAATAAGCGAATTTACATTTACACCCGGCTGGATTTCTACTAAAAAATTCTCTAAAATTGTCAGATATTTTATTTGCTATTTAAATAAAATTAATTTTAGTGAGTACTTAAAAAGGTTTGCTGCTAACGGGAAGATATTTAGGTGTGTTTTTTTTTTGTTTTTTTTTAATTGAAATGTTGATAGCTAAGTATGAAATTAACCAAATTGGCAAATTTGATTAAAATATATCTATAAACAAGCAAACTACAACAGTTTATTTATTCTTCATAAGAATAACATGGGAATTTTAAATTTAAAATTTTTTTAGCTATCTCCGTAACTGTTGGGCATACAACAATGCTTCAATATACAAATTTTTTCCTTTTTTTAAGCTCTACAAAATGGTTTGAAGAGAAATTAAATGAAATTTTGTGTTTTTAGGGTCAAAAAAGGCAAATATCTATTTTTACCCCATAAAACCCCTTCCCATAGTCCAATTATGCTGGTTCACGAACTCGTTCGAATAAATGTAGGTTTACACATTTGTACCAAATTTCATCTAGCCTAAATCTGATAATTTTTCCTCGAGTTATCGCGCTAACGGACACATATCCTATATGAATTTGAACGGATGGTGTTTTTGGCCTCCGGGAACCTCAAAACGAAAAAGTAAATCGGTCAAGGGTCTAGGTCTTACCATAAGACCTACGGTAATAGCTTATTCATATGGGAAATTCGCTAATATTCTGTTTGTGGCATTGTTGGGATTTTTTTAGCATAGGCTACATGAAAAATATTTTTAACCCTCTAACAGGGTGGGGGGTATGGGGTGACCTAATTTTTCAAATAACAACCCCGATTGAGTGACCCCTCAATTTAAAGGGTTTAAAAAAGACAATTTAGCCTAATGCAAACCCAAGGTAGATAAATTATCTCACACCTAGTAAAAAATTGCAGGGTATTCAATTTAGAATTGGTGGAATTGATGCTTTTTCACATAGGCCTAAATCAAAGTTTGGAAGTTTGTTCAAATAATGGTGCAATATGAATAAAAATATAGGTAGTAAATCACACGTGGGCCAAAGTGTCTTTTCAACCTTCGCTCACTTTCCAACCCCAGCTTCACCTCGATCGTAAGACTTTAGCTCGGGTTGAAGAGTCACTTTACGTCTAGTGATGAAATTTACTAGGTAAGTAGTCTATTTAAAACCAATAAGAAGTAAGTTTTCCAGCACTGGACCTTTGAAATCGCTAGACTAGTGGGGCGTTAAACAAAATTAACCTTTTAGTTGCCATTTACAGGTGTGCTAAATCATAAGCTTTAATATGATGTACCTCAATCATAATTTCGATGATGTAATACAAGTAAATACCGCCACCGCAGCAAACCTGCAGACTTAGTGGATTTAAAATTGAGATGGATTATAGTCAGTTTGTCTAAACCACATTTTAGTCACAGTGTAGCATGCTCTTTTTCAAATCCCCATAACTTAGACATTGCACTATGGGGCTATTCAGCTGCCGCAAATGACATCTAGCTCCTTCAGAAGATGGCTTTAAGGGTGATTACGTACGCTGGGCACCGTGACCACTGTAGGGCTATCTTTAAGGATCTAAAGATTTTGCCTGTCTACAGTCAGTACACATCCTTAGTGTCATATTAGGCCTACTCATGAAAAACTCAGCAAAACTTGCTCAACGTGAGGACCAACACTCGTACTTAACACAACATAGCCATCTCCTTGCCCTGTCCAGATGCCGACTTGCCTGGAATCAAAAGTGCTACCCTTACTAAACAAGCAAACTCTACACTAAGGGACTATTTGGGGGCAGATCTCTGTAACTCTGTAAAAGTGAACTGGATGGCACACCACAATTTGGCAACCTGTCGCCATCGTAGTTATTTTTATAGGTACCGGTATGTTTTAATTTTGTTATAGGCCTAATACCCAACCTAATTAACGCAATCTTTTCAGACTTTGTCTGTCTCCGATGCGGTATTCAGTTCCTTTTTCCACCCGACTGCTTTAAATATTGTTCCATAAGGTGAGGAAATGAACCTTTGTCAATCAATTTTCAAATGACAATTAACATTTAACAGCTCTAAAACTCCGGGTAAGCATAATTTGTAAGCGTACTAGGTCAACCCAGCATTTTATTAACTAAATTTAACTTAATAACTTTACCATACTGCATTTATTAACTAGGTTGAATGTTGTGTTTACGTGTCGACACTTGTTTAGACCACAAGCGTTTAAATTTAGAGGAATTTAGTGTCAGTTCAGTTGGATTAAACTTAGGCCATAACCTTGTCATGTCCTATAGGCCTATAACTTAGGCCTATATCAACCCACCTCACCTTCAGTTTAGACCTATTAGTATAGGATTCGGGCCAACAACATCATTTGTTTATGTTTATGATCCATACCGGTATTTTTCTAGTAGGCTGTTTGTGAGGCCTACTAAATGGCATTTTGAATGTAGGAATTGTATTAAAGCCTATTGCTGTCCGAAAATAATGGCACATGTTATGATTTGTGTTGAGAACAAGTGACTTCAGCTTTATTTTTAACCAATCTAGCTTTAAAGCCGATTAATCTGACACAAATAGAATGCCCACTCACTACGTAATAACTCCTATGAAACTGCAAACAGCAATCTACCTGACATAGCTATGTTATATTAGGCCTACACTACTACTGTAGGTTTAGGCTTTGGGTCAACGAGTATTGTTAGTGTGGTAGGCTATAGCCTACTATTAGATCTGAACTGTGTACAGTCAACAAAACGCAAGATCTTGGCCAAGATTATTTTGTTGGTTAAACATTTAAAATGTTAAGTGACTAACTAACTTGAATACTATCACTCAAGTAATAACTTATGAGTGAAATAAAAACTATTAAGGTGTTTAGCACTTTATTCAGGTAGACTATTCAGTGAATCCAAAAATTTAACCTTCTCGGAGAAGTCTAAGTAACTTAATTAGGTTAGCAAAGTAACATGTTAAGCTACATTCAAGTTACTTAACAAAGTTGTAGTGTTGATGTCAAGGAATAGGCCTAACTTAGTTTTTAAGCGTTTTTAGAACGTTTTAGATGAGTTGGGGGTGAAAAACACGCAACCTTCAGACGTTAAGTTTCAAGTTTGCACTATAACAACCCAGCTAATGCTTAAGTTGTCAATAGCTTGGATATGCTACGGCACCGGTATAGGTAACTTTTTCTATTAAGTTACCACAACAGAACATCACACTAAGTAAAGCACTGGATTCATTGGATTACAATGAATATAACTTAGCCACTTTCTGAGGCTTGAATACTTTAAATGCTCTTGTATACAAATGAGTTCACCCCATCCCCAGTTTATGAAGGCGGCTATGCATCATTAATATAGCCTATTAAATAGCCTTAACTTAAGTAACTAGGTCTCATTCCTAACCTGAACAAAACTGTTAAAAATTATGTTGATAGTATGGATTAGAGTTTTAATACAATATTTTTTTAAAGAGGCTTAAGATAAGGCTAGAATAAAAAATACTGTGTGATGCAGTGTCATATCACAAGCTTATCAATATTCCTTGAAATGAAAAGTGGGGTATCAATAACCCAAGTGTGGCCTAAGTCCAATTGTGTCTGAGGTTGTTTTGCTCAAGATTGAACAACAGCACAACAGATGTTAAATTGTATAAATATAAATGCAAACCTTGCTTTCTGACGGGCATTTCGAAGTAACGTATCCTCCTGTGTCGGCTTTGTTGTATTTTCGAAAACACTAAAACAACACCCCACTAGCAGACGAGGTTATTTTTTTAGAATAGAACCTCTGAGTGTTGGGCACCAAAAGATAGAATTCACAATTGAAAGTGAAATTGAAGTATATCAAAACACTTACACCACGCACATTTGTATCCCGTCGACGATATTATTTGTTTCACTGCACTCAAAACCGAGATAAACACGGGACAACGGTCAATGGCGTCCACAAACCGTACGCAAACTACAGCAGACGAAAAGTTACTGGCGACTGACGGGATTGGTCAGGTCGATTAAGGGATTACGTCATGTCATAAACAAAAGTAAAAATTATTTTTCTACGTATAGCCGTATAGCCATGTTTCTATGAGAATTTATTTTTGGAATAAATACCCGCTTGAAGTAGATAAACCATAGATAGTAGCATAGATAAAACATATAGTCTATGATAGTAGCTCAAATACTTGACGGATTAATATATATATGTTTATATATTTTTTCTTGTATGCTTATGTTGTAGTTTCTATAATCAACGGTGCAGCTGCAGCGAAGATCTTTGAGGATTGTCTTCCCCTCATGAGGAACCCATGGTCAAGACTGAACAATCCTTTGAGATGTCTAAGAACTGGTTCAAACTTCAAAACAAATAAGTTTTGCCTAAATGAAAACTAAGTCATATAAGAAAATGAATGACTGGTAAAGACAAACACATGGTCTGCAGTCTGGCTCGAAATCTTATTCCTAGTAACCTCCCTGAATACACCCTTATCACCTAAGTCATAAGGAGTAAATTAGAAGCTACACATACTTGCACCTGTCATGTTTGCCATCTTATTGTTTCCGTTGCCAGTCACTCGAGGAAATGGCATTCAAAGAGGCAAATACCTTGCTTCAGTGGTTTTGATGATAACCTCCTGAAAACAAACACTATGCAAAGACCCAGCTAATCAACTTTCGAGTCTCAAACAGGTCCAACTAAGATCCGCCTCTGTATCACATCTTCTTGATCAAACCTTCATTCATCCTGTACAGTCTGTTAAATTCTTATAGGTATCCACTTGGAAGAAAGTTTAAATTTCAAATATCATGTTGATTAAGTGACAAAACGTGCAAGTACAGGCATTTTTTTACTACGAACATTGACTACGGTACAACAGTCTCGTCGGAAGTTCGTCTTTCTGTTTAACTATACGGCTAGTGAGCCCTGGGCCCATGTGGCCGGGATATTAACAGTGGGAAGAAACTTATAAATGGGAATATTGCCGGGAATATTTATTTGTCCAGGAAAGATTCTCAAATATTGGTTATATAGAAAATTTAAAGATTCTGAATGTTTTAAATTGATTAAAAGTTAACTACTAACTAAATTCATACATCTTAATCCAAAAATGATCATTCCAAGCATTAGTTCTCTGTATAAACAAGTTAAAATTCATGAAACCAAATGCATTTTAATTCTTAAACCATTTAGGGGAAGGTGTTGTACCTTAATTGGACCTATACTCATTTTAGAACTATCTGTTAAGTAAAGGGAGAACTTAGACCATTAGTTAATGCTTTAGCTACCAGAGGTCTATCCTGATGTGTTCAAGTTGGAGTTGTATGTGTCCTGTTGACAGGAAAACTGTAACAAGTTTTTATAAGGTACTAGCTGGCCCGACAGACGTCGTCCTATCCTAATGTGGTTTTATGTCAAATCACAGACAATAAGGAGTGTGGTCAAATGCTCGTTCATTTTCAAGATGAGCTCATTTGCATCGCTCAATCACGTCCTGGTTGAAGTTTGTTCGCTACGCTCACTCACCTTTAGGTTGGAGCTCGTTCGCTGCGCTGAGCTGACTTGCCTTCAGGTTAGCTCGTTCGTTACGCTAACTCACCTCCAGGTTGAAGTTCGTTCACTACGCTCACTCACCTTTTGGTTGCAAATTAGCTGTTGTCATAAATTAAAAAAATAATAGTGCTGCACCTTTACCTTTACCTTTACCTTTACCGGTTCTTCATCGTTGCCCAGCCATAGCTGGATAGATTGCGTTAAATGAAAAAAATTAAAACTTTAAAACTTTGTCACCCTGTTGGTAAACCTATTAAATTTTTAATGCTATTGAACATCACAGAATCATATTCTTTAGTTGAACCAGCTGTTAAGATTCTTTAATTCCATTTAAATATGAATAATCATAATGTTAACATGGGAAACTCCAGAGCCACTGGGGCGGTGCCCTTTTGACGAATCTGCACCAAACTTCACAAAAACCATCCTTGAATAATGTTTAAAAATACCTGAAAGTTTCATTACAATCTGTTTGAGCGGTTTCGGAGTCCGTAAAGGACAAACGAACATACATACATTGGATTTTATATATATAGAAAAGTAAGTACATGCAACTTTAAATTTTCTTTTATTATGTTAGATGTAATTATTGTTTATCTCAGCTTGCAATTTGGTGCTTTAAACCAACAACTCAGCTTCAGTTTCATATGATTCACACCATGTTAATCCTACCTAACCTAGAATAGTCTAGAAATAGTCTAGACCTTGGTCCTATAATGTTAATATTTTTTTAATAATTGAAAATATTTTTTTGTGAAAATAAAGTGTTAAAAAATATATGTAGGCCTACGGTATTGTGTTAAAGAGCAATGATTACGTTTCACTAACATTTAATGTATTTTAAAGTGTCATATCAAAACAAAAAAGTAAAATAGGTCCATGGTACAACACCTTCACATCATTAAAAACTCAAGTATTTAAAAACTATTTACAAAATGTATGGAGTCATTTATTTTGGGAACTGTTGCTTCGGTTTCGCACTTGGTCCAATATCGGACCAAAATATCTCAGGTAATGAGGATAAGCTCGAGTCAAAAGAAACCATGACAACAATGTTTTGGGAATTATGAAATGAAAAGAGAATGAAGAAAAATTAATAGACATTGAGAGCGACAGTAACCAGGAAACTTATAACTTTAATATGGAAAGTAAAGATGTTAATTATATAAATAACATTTTAAATCCCGGCTATTTTTCTGATGTTCGTATTCAATCATTCATACTATTTTGAAATATCTGGTTTTACAATACCTTTATCAGTTCCAAAAGTAACTTTCGTCAACGTGTGTTACATGTTTCGGCGAGCTGCCATTGTCAAACACTTCAATACAATGGCAGCTCGCCGAAACATGTAACACACGTTGACGAAAGTTACTTTTGGAACTGATAAAGGTATTGTAAAACCAGATATTTTATATATTACAGTTCCGGGGCTACAACCATGAATTTTCATACTATTTTGTCTATTTTTTGACCTATACGAATAAAAGTGATTATGTTTTATTTAATATAAATCACACAATTACCCCATTGTCCTATTAATTTGAGCTGGTTTTAAAGGCCGTTTAGTGACTTTCTAACGCGATTGTCCAAAAACTCCCATTTCACCAGCTATATTTGATCATGATCAAGAGTAGACATATTTACAAAATTAAACTATGAGGATCTTGCATTCATGAATTTAAAAACATACTGTGTAGAATGCGGTCATATCTCCTAAAAACAGTTTGGTGACTTTATAAAGCCATTTTGTAACGTCAACCAATCACAGGCCGAGATTAGCTCATTGCTCCTGTAATAAGCAGTCTACGTGATTCAAGGTAGACGCCCAACGATATAGTTTCAAATAATAGGCTACTGGCGCTACCGCTGATGACTGATGGGTTACGGTTCACTTACACTACAAATGTGTAGTGTCATAGACTAGTATGTTTTATCTATGGTAGTGTTTGTGTGTAAGTAGTAGATGGTAGTAGCTAGCAGACAATTTGACAAAACTAGGAACACGAAATCGACTGTTTCCCGTCCTCGCTGTCAAGCTCGGGGCCCGCCTTTAATTGCCATGATTAATAATTGCAAAGCATTTGGTTTGGCTTGAAACTGTCAGGTATTGTGTTTTCGAATGTAGCATATTATGTAGGTTTGCAATAAGAAAACAATTATTTTTAATTTACACTTCTTATGATTTTCCGTAATCGTTAGGCATACAACAACGCTTCAAAATACTAAATATTTGTTTTTAAGCTTCTCAAAATGGTTTGGAAAGAAATTGCAAAATTTTATCTTTTCAGAATTAAAAAACGTGATACCTCCATTTTTACCCCGTACAACCCCCATGACCCCATAAACCCCTGTTCTCACAGTCCGATTATGCTGGTTTGCAAACTCGTTCGAATAAATACAGGTGAACATAATTTCATCAAAATTGAACCTTTTTTGCTTGAGTTATCGTGCTAACTGACACATCTATAAAAATACAAATTATAGGTGACCAATGCTTATGTTTTTTCTCCTGTAGTAGGGCATTTCTTTTCTACATCTCTCTTAGTTCACCGTTGTCCGTTCTCCTGTTCTGCTTCTGCTCTGCACTGCACTTCTGGTCTTCTGCTGCTGCTTTGGGGATCTGTTTTGATGTTTAGAATTATAGTAAAAAGGAACCAAGTATTATTCTAGATAATTTTCTTAGTTTTTAGTCTATGTAAGTATAAATTTTACTAATAAGTTAAATTAAGTAATTTAAACCGAAAACTGTGAATCGTAGTGTTTTGCATTACAATTAACTACGAAATGTCACAATCAGCACCGAACCTTCTACTTCTATCAACAAATTAAGTAGGAGGCTAACATTAGGGCCAGGCCGGTAACACTTCATATCTTCATCATAATCTTGGCTTATTATATCCGCAGATGATACCGGACGTGGCAGTTATTAGGCGTCCTGCAGTGACTTAACCGGGTTATGATTTATGCGTGACGAGTGAAGGGGTCCCGACTACTGGTCGCAAATTCAGGGGCCATATTTATATAAATAACCTAACCCTAAAGTACAGTTAGAGAACTGTTAAGTTACTTTGACAAAAAGTTAGTGTCACCGGTGGGATTCAATCTGGTTAGGTACAGTAGCCTACCTCTTGGACATCGGCCGAGTACTCTATCTTCTACACCACAAACACCGCTGGCTGCACTTCGTATTGTTGCGGTAAAGGTGTTCAACAAAAGTATTCTGGGCCCCCACAACCCGGTGACGTTACTGCCGGACGCCTAATCCTTGTCCGGTTACCCGACATGTATCCTCTGCGTATTAAATCTTGTCAGTCCCATTAATTGCATCACATTTTTTATCCTTTACTAGCCTTTCCCTCGTTGGATTTTGCCATAAAAGTTTATTTTAGGCCTATTTGGTTAGTTGAAACCATGAATACTAGAAAAATACCTGTAGGCCTATGGATCATAAACATAAACAAATGACGTTGTTGGCCCGAATCCTATAGGCTACTAATAGCATCGAACATATGTTTTGGCAGTTCCATTTAAAATGTTAAAAAATGTTTATTTTCGGGCCAAAAACGTCATTTGTTTATGTTTATGATCCATACCGGTATTTTTATAGTAATCGTGGTTGAAACCAGTCTAACTAGTCTTGATTTTTGGGGTACATTTCGCAGAGAACTTAAGATATATTTTCGGATGAATAACTATAGCCTATTATCTAAACTTGTGTATAGACAACACAACTTGTGTTCAGTATAGGCAGGCCTCAGTTTAATATTACCGTATATTTTTTTCTATTCTACTTGTAACTACTGGTAGGGCCTAATTGCTATTGAATTGTCAAGATTAAAGTAGGCATATTGTAAGTTTATACAGTAATAACTGAAGTTACTAGTACATTTACTCATAAAACATAATTTTTGTTTAGTTACTAGCCTAATTTAACCTCCTCCGGGACCTAGAAAATTTTTTTAACCAAAAAGTATTTTAACATTATATGTGTTTGCAGATAGAAGATACTTTAATTTGGTGAAGAGTGCGGTTAAAAGATTTGGTGAAAATGATAAATGTATTTATCAACAAAGCAAAACGAACAGATATTCCAAAAGATGCAGTTATCCTGACAAAAGGGGAGGCCTTAAGAATGCAGTGGGATATAATATCAAATTGGAAATCAAAAACTGATACGTAAGTTAAGTTGTATTTGGCCCTGTAAGCCCCAAAGGCTACATAGAAAGGCAATGAAACCCTTACTTGTAGTCAACTGAAACAAAACGGCTGAAAGCTATACCGGTACCTGACAAGTTCTACGAACCAAGTTGAAAATTATTGTGATTTGGCTTTTTAACCAGTGTTGCTAGTGTGGTAGACCGTCAGTTTTGATCACTAGCTTAGCAGTTTAAGGCTCAGTTAGACTAAGTTTCTCAGCTCAGGCCCTAAACTCACCTCAGATAGGTCTGGTGTGCAACTCATGAGGAGTCCATGTGTCTGAGGAAAAACTTTGTGGGGGTGGCTCTAATGGTGGATTTGAATAAAACGGATAGAGTTAATATAGCTAGATGAAATTAAAGATATATAAGCCTAGAGATAGAGTTGAAATTGATAGGATTGTTTTTTTTTTGTTTTTTTGGACTAGTACCCTACCTATTGAAATATTGTTTCAACACACCCGGCTTAAGGCCCGGGATGGAACCAATATTCAAATTGTCTTCAGCTGATCCATAAGGATCCAAGCTTTTAATTTACTAAGGGAGTATGTTTAGTCTTTATGTCTGTTTTATAGCCTATAGGCCTACAGCCACGGAGGTTAGTTTTTCATACGTCATCCCAAAGAAGTCAAATCACTATAGTTTCAATGTCAGGTGCTTAAGCGGCCCACACAATGGGATGCTTATGCGCGCACATGTGACGTGCAAACAGCTCAAGCTCAAATCAGTTTGACTACTATTTTTATGTCCGATATCTATCAAAATACTGCTTGGTGTGTTGCGTGCACAATGTCATTACCTACTTTAAACTATCTGATTTGACTTCAGAACTCCTTCCACATCCTTCAAAGATGGTTGGTTAGTGATTTGTTGAGCAGCTATGTATTCTCTGTTATAATTAATATGAGTATGTTGTTAATCTTATTTGACCTAAAGTCCGTAGCAATTTTTGGCAGTGGCTTTCTGAATTATGGTTAGAAATCCCCACGTAAAAATGAATAACACTTATTTCTGTTTCAACTAAGCATCCAAGTTTGGCATAATTTTAATCTCTTCTACTGTTGCAGGTGGCCATTTACTATTGGTCTTGGTGTTTTAGCGAGTGTTAATGCAGCAACTTCCCTCAATGTAGTTCTATACTTCAGAAATAAGCTAAAGCTCCAGAACTACGGCAGAATATCAATGGCTATGCCAACAGTGGTTATACCCAGTGTTCTCACTGCCGTATCTCATCAATATGTAAGTTGAATAGGCCTAATCATTTTTTAATTGATTTGCCACAAAATCATTGTGATTGTAAATTTTATTTCAGCATTGAACTATTCGCAGGAAGGTAAAATCTTAAAGAATCATACCCTATGTACATGTGTTAGTGACATGTTAAGTTTATAAGTAATTGTTATTTATTTTGTTAAATAATAGGAATGATATTATTTCTTACATCCATATTAAATATCCCAACATTATCATTATCAATAGAGATGGGACCCAAATATGAGTGAAGGACGAGGATGAGTCAGGATCAGGTGTTTAATCAATTGGTATTTAGGATTAGCTCAATGATTGGAAACAGCTGGGTCCAGCTTCGAACCATCAAAAGGCTACTGACTGTTGTGCTTTAGTAGCTCATTGCTTTCAATTTAGCTCTCTAAATGTGAATATTTTTATGTATAATCATAAATTCATGGTATATATTTATAATTCTTATCTTAAAATCAACATTAATAGTGAAAAAGATGGTACTCTGTACCTCCAATATTGTAGTTTCATAACTTGACAAGTCGATCTCAACTAGGTTTTAGATAGTGTAAATAAAGCGATTAGGAATGATTAAAATGAGTAGGAGGTGGCGAAACTAAAGGAATTGCTAAAATTAGGGGTACCTCATACTGTAGATTCCTGTTGTTCCAGCCATATTGGAGAAGTGAGGTCATGTGACCCAGTGTTCTTCCCAGGTGACTCTTGATTTGAGGTAGTGGGGTATGGCGGCAAATTTGAATACTGGTTATAGGATGGATAGGTAAACTGGCTGTAGGTATTGGGGAAATAAAATGAAATTATTCTGGTCAAGCAAAGGGGATTAAAATAAAATGTTTTTGAAACTAAAATAAATCTGGCCTTAACATTTCCGCCCACCAAAAAGATTTAGTCTTTTTCACACAAAATTTATGTCTCATAGTTCTATGTAAATAACTCAAAATTTCTTGAAAAGGAAAAAAACACAACGAAAAACATCTTCTTGGCAAATAAAAACAAATTAATTCTCTTGAGGAAGGGGACACAGCTGCACGACTGGTCGCTGAAGTTGTCCAGCTGGTGTCTTCAGAGTGGCGACTCGGACGATGCCATCTTTCCCTGGGTGTGTCTGGATGACACGAGCTGTAGTCCACTTCAAAGGGGGAAGGTTTTTGTCCTTTATTAGGACTAAGTCATTGATTTTCAAATTGGGTGAATCACGTGTCCATTTGTATCGCTGTTGTAACTGATGCAAGTAATCTTGACTCCATACTTTCCAAAAGGATCGTTGTGCCTGTTGGATCATTTGCCAGCGAGAAAGACGATTCTGTGGAAGGTTTGTTAAATCAGTCTGGGGGATCGCTACCAAAGGCTCTCCTATGAGAAAATGTCCAGGGGTTAGAGTCTCATACTCGTTGGGATCAGTTGAAAGACTACACAGAGGCCTAGAATTGAGGACTGCTTCGACCTTTGTCAATAATGTTGAGAACTCTTCAAAAGTTAGAATCTGATTTCCAACAACTCGTTTTAAGTGATACTTCATGGACTTGATTCCACTTTCCCATAGTCCGCCAAAATGTGGTGCAGCAGGTGGGTTGAAGTGCCAGCTGATTCCCATCTGGGCGAGTTTTGAAAGAACGGCATCTGAAGTTGGAGTCTTGTGAAGTAGACTGTGAAGTTCTTGGAGTTCTCGATCTGCTCCCACGAAGTTAGTTGCTTGGTCTGAGTAGATATGTGCACAAAGACCTCTTCTTGAGACGAATCGGTCAAAACAAGCTAAGAATGCTTCCGTAGAGAGAGACGAGACTGACTCGAGATGGATTGCTTTTGTACTAAAACATATGAACAAACATACATAGCTCTTCAGTAACTGTGGTTTGCGCAACTTGTCCGTTTTTGTGGTAAAGGGTCCACCAAAATCAATGCCTACATGGAGAAAAGGGCGGCTTTGCGTAATTCGTGAGCCAGGTAAGTTACCCATGTATGGTTGAATGGAGTTAGCTTTCATTTTAACACAAACTAGGCACTTGGATAATCGATGACGGATGACTTGCCTAGCTGAAATAATCCAAAACTGTTGAGACAGTAGTGACTGCAAGGTTCTTGGGCCTACATGCAAGTGCTTGAGATGGTAGTGGTCTATAAGTAGGTTGGTTAAGTGACATTGTTTTGGCAACAACATAGGAAATTTAGCATTGTATGGTAGCTGGGAATTTTTCAAACGTCCACCCACACGAATGAGTCCTTGTTCATCTAAAAATGGACTTAACCGCTGAAGACTATGACTTGTCTGATCAGTAGCAAGTTTATCAATGTGATCAGGTAAGTAACTTGATTGAGTTAGTTTCACAAGTAGGTGTAGGGCTGATGCACGTTCCTTAGAAGTAAGAAATGGTTCAGTAATCTTCTCTTTCTTCTTTTGGCAATTATGTATGAACCTTAATATCCATCCTATACAAGATTGTAGTTTGGTGAACTGTGAATGTTTTTCAACTAAGGCAGTGAACTCATTCTTTGTGTCTTTGGCGGCAACTAGTGCACATGTCGCAGATGGGCGAAACTCAAGCAGTGACTCGTTGGGTGTTAGAGCAGGTAAAGGTTGAGTCGGCCAAGACATTGGTTCCTCCATGAGCCAATTAGGTCCAATCCACCATAGAGAATTTCTTAAGATTTCATGGGGTAGTAGCCCTCTTGAGGCGTAATCAGCAGGATTGGTATCTGTCGGTGTATGTCGCCAGCAAGCGGGTTCGAGCAATGTCTGGAGTTCAGCGACCCGGTTAGCCACAAAAGTCTTGAGCTGATGAGGTGCGGTGCGGATCCAGTGTAGCGTTACTAGAGAGTCGGTCCAGGCGAAAGTGGGTATATTTCCAAATTTGTAGGCTAACATGTTTTTACAAAAAAACATTGTTTTACTAAGTAAAACTGCTCCACACAACTCTAAGCGAGGAATTGAAATTTTCTTTAAGGGTGCAACTTTGGATTTGGCCATGATAAGGTTGGTAAGAGGTTTTCCATCAGAATTAACAACTCTTAAGTAGATAGCACATCCGTAGCCAACTTCCGAGGCATCCGAAAATCCATGGAGCTGAACGTCAGTGGTTTCTGGAAGCAGAACCAGTCGGGGAATGGTTAAGTTGCTGAGATGAGGAAGAGTTTCAAAAAACTTGGAAGACTGACGAACAATATCAATTGGCAGCGGTTGGTCCCAGTCGAGTCCCAGAGTCCAAATTTTTTGGATCAAACATTTTGCCCAAAGGACTACAGGTGTAATTAACCCAAGCGGGTCATAGACCTTGGATACTTGAGACAATAGGCCACGTTTGGTAGAAGGTGGTTGTCCTATGTGAACATCGTAAGAAAACTTGTCTGAATTTGGATTCCATTTAAGGCCTAAGACTTTGATAGAGGGATCGGCAGAGCTTTCGTCTTTAAAAATGAATTCTTGATCATGAGATGGAACATCTTCTAATATTTTATGATTGTTGCTGGACCATTTCCTAAGTTTAAATCCACCAGAATCTAAGAGACTGATTAGTTCAGATTTTATTTTCAGGGTGTGATCAAGTGAGTCACCTCCTGTAAGGACATCATCGACAAACATTGAGTTTAAAATAACCTCACTTGCAAGAGGATATTTTTCGGAGTCTTCCAAAGCCAGCTGTCTTAAAGAACGCAAGGCTAAGAATGGCGAACTTGATACACCGTAGGTTACTGTGTTGAGAAGAAAGGTAGACATAGGTTTCTCTGGGCTATCTCTCCACAAAATTGCTTGAAAAGACTTATGTTGCGGGTTGACAAGTATTTGACGATACATTTTCTCAATGTCGGTTGTAAATACATACAAGTGAAGGCGAAAAAGCGAAAGAATTTTACAAATGTCAGTCTGAAGCTTCGGACCTATTAACAATTCATCATTTAGTGATTTTCCAGTTGAGGTTGGAGCTGATGCATTAAATACTACTCGTAGTTTTGACGAAGAGGAGTTTTTCTTGAAGATTCCGTGATGCGGGATGTAGTAAGCTGGTGTTACAGAGTTTACAACCTCGGACATGTGACCCAAATCTCTATATTCATTCATGAATGTTGAGTAGGCTCCCTTTAGATCAGGATTTTGATTGAATTTTCTTTCCAGAGATAAAAAACAATGCTTGGCTTTGCTGTACGACTCTCCAAGGTCGGGACAATCATTTTTAAAGGGCAGGTCAACAACAAAACGACCAGCTGAATCTCTTTGAACTGTTGACGCGTAGATTGACTCACATCGTTCATCTTCTGGGCTAGTTTGGCAATGATTCATCGGGGGTTCTTCAATTTCCCAGAACTTGCGCAGATTCGACTCCAGTGATACTTGGTCTAATATAGCTAAATTAACAGAAACGGACTGAGTCGTTGGAATTGGCAAACGTGATTCACCGATGAGCAACCATCCAAAAATGGTGTGAAAGGCAGTAGGGAATCCAGATGGCGTATCACGCCGCCCACCGTCAAAAAGCTGTGGGAACAAATCAGCACCAATAAGAAGATCAACTCTTCCAGGTTGGTAAAACTCCGGATCGGCCAAATCCCAACCTTGAAATAACATTTTAACCTTATCATCAAGAGCAGTAGAAGGTAGCGGTGAAGTGATCCGATTTAAAACAATGGCTTCCGTTCTCAGTGAAGGGTTATCTTGATGCAAAGGCTTGATTACACAGGGTACTAGTCCTTTGTTGCTGGAAACAGACACTTCAGACAATCCTAAAATTGGTTGAACAACTTTCCGTCTCGGTAAACACAACTGACTGACACATGATTCAGTAATGAAGGAACTTTGGCTACCAGCATCAATTAATGCTCTAACCTGTTGAGGATTACCACAAACATCTAGAATGCGAACAATGGCAGTACCTAAGAGAATGGTTGTAGGCTTAAAGTAAGTTTCGTCTTTCGGGCTTGAATCACATGTAGGCCTAATGCAGGTAAATGCAGAGGTAGGAGCAGGGGATAATTTTTCTTCTTGCTTAGAAGTTGATGTCGGCGTAGCCTTAACCAAAGAATCAGATTCTGGATAAGAAACATGAAGCGTTGTGTGATGTGATTTTCTACATTTGAAACATGTGCGGGATGAACGACATTTGCTTAACATATGTGATATGCTTAAACAGTTAAAACATGCTTCCTTGGATTTGATTAGATCTCTTCTTTGGGTTGGAGACAAATTTAAGTAAGATTGGCAACGATAAATGTTATGTTCTTGGCTACCACATGAAATACAAGTGACTGGCGGTTTAGATTGATTGGTAGTAGGGCTATTGACAACAAATACCCTTTTGGTCGGGGCACTTGGAAAGGTAGTCTTGTTTGGAGCATTTTTGTAGCCTACCTTATACTGTCCAAACTTTAGGTTAGGTTGTGTCTCACCTGCAGCTTCGAGTGACTTGCAGTGTTCCTTTAGAAATTCAATGAAATCGGACAAGGAGGGATATTCCCTATTAGAGAACTTGCGTTCAAATAACTGTCTTGTATGCCTGTCCACGGTTTTCAGAGCTACGTGCAGAATAATAAATTCACCTAAGCTGTCAGGTATCTCCATTTGCTTTAAGGCTGAAGTGTTCTCATTAAGTGTGTCCAGTAGAGTTCTTAATGGCTTAGGAGACTCGAAATGGATGGGGGTAAGACTTAAAATTTCATCAATGTAATTGGCTGCTAACAACCTTTTGTTATCATATCTCTCATTTAACTGTGTCCAAACAAGTTCATAGTTGTCAGAACAAATGGGAATGCCTTTTACCAAGGTATGCGGTTCACCCTTTGTACTTGAAAGTAAAAAATGAAGTTTTTCTACAGGGGATAACGATACATTATTGTGAACAAGAGCAAGAAAAAGGTCCTTGTAATGAGGCCAGTCTTTCAAAACTCCCTCGAATGTGGGTAGATTGATTTTTGGGAGTCTAACAGCTGTGGAGGCGATAGGCTTAACATTTTCAACATTTTCCTGTCTAACAAGAGGTGAAAGAAACTTGTCTTTGGTAGCAAGAATAAAAAAATATTTCTCATCTACAACCTTATTTTTGGCAAGAATTCCCTCCAGCTGAGAAGTATCTTTGAGCTGGACATAACCTTTCACTATGTCAGATTGGTAACGCTCAAAACTTTCATAGTGGGCAGGGAGACGATCACAACGAACTTTGAACTCTGATAATTCAATTGGGCTAGCCTCTATAGACAAAGTTTCAGCTTGATTGTGCAAAAACTCAATTTTTTGAACAATATTATCTCTTTTATAAATCAGAAGATCAATATCTCTCTTTAGTTTGGCATCTGCCATTGTAAATGCTATTTATTGTCATTTACAAATAGCCTAGATCTGTAGAAACTCAAGAAACTCCACAACAAGTATTTATAAGTTACCACTTGACTGAGAGTATGATAATTAAATTAAAATAATTTGTTAAGTATTGCAGAAAAATTCAATTATGTTGTCTTGATAAATAGTCTTCTTAATCTGCATGTAATTGTAAAATTATTAAAGTGGCAATCTCTGTTTACAATAAACCAACCAGTGACAATAATTATTGTAAGTGCCAGACTCTTCAATATTTATGCAAAATGGTGAAAATAAACAGTCAGTATCAAACAAATATTTTAAAAAGAATAATTCTTAGCAACTTAAATAAATCAGCATAAATTCTTCATATCTGGGAAATTTCTTCTTTAGTTTTACCCAAAAGAGATATTTCAGGGGAAATTTCCACAGTGTGGGGTAATTGTGGGGAATCTTGGTGGGTAATTCCAGGGAACTTTTCCCTCAGGTTGCAATCCTGACAAAACTCCTGAATTATCCTGCAATCTTGCACATGTGAATCAAATTGCCAAAAAACTAATAAATCTTGATGTAAACTATTTTAATTGGTGGAAATTGATTGCAAATTGATTAAAAATGATAATAAAACTGCTGATAACTAAAATACTTCTTCAAATAGTCTTCAAATAAGCAAGTGAATGTAAAGCTAGGCCAGATTTGAATTTGCTAATTTTTGAAGTAAAAAACAGGAATAATAGGAAAATTTATGAATCAGACTCGAAGGACCATGTAAATAAAGCGATTAGGAATGATTAAAATGAGTAGGAGGTGGCGAAACTAAAGGAATTGCTAAAATTAGGGGTACCTCATACTGTAGATTCCTGTTGTTCCAGCCATATTGGAGAAGTGAGGTCATGTGACCCAGTGTTCTTCCCAGGTGACTCTTGATTTGAGGTAGTGGGGTATGGCGGCAAATTTGAATACTGGTTATAGGATGGATAGGTAAACTGGCTGTAGGTATTGGGGAAATAAAATGAAATTATTCTGGTCAAGCAAAGGGGATTAAAATAAAATGTTTTTGAAACTAAAATAAATCTGGCCTTAACAGATAGTATAGGTTTGTATACTAGGGTATTTTCAGGGTGAATAAAAAGTCAAGACCCCCCCCCTCTAATATTTTTCCAAGTAAATATACAGAGATATACTTTTGGTGGTTGAGCACTCTTACCAGGAAGTTTCATTTGATCATTTTGAAATTTTTGAGTGTCCCTCCAAAAGGGGGGATTTGGGGGGCAACTAAAATATTTTAAATGTAAACCCCCTTCAAGTGACACCTCATTTTGAAGTGTTTACAAAAACTTAAAGAATGGTGAAAACTAGAGGTCGCTATCTCTTCTCTATCCAAAATGGTAGCCCGTCAAATGTTGTGGAAAATCAATGTTAAATTGTTAATACTGGCTGCCATTTTGGATAGAGAAGAGATAGCAAGCTCTGGTTTTCACCATTCTTAAAAGTTTTTTTAAACACTTCAAAATGAGGTGTCACTTGAAGGGGGTTTACATTTAAAATATTTGAGTTACCCCCCAAATCCCCCCTTTTGGGGGGACACTCAAAAATTTCAAAAAGATAAAATGAAACTTCCTGCTAAGATTTCTCGACCACCAAAAGGATATCTCTGTATATTTACTTTGAAAAATATTAGATGGGGGGGTCTTGACTTTTTATTCACCCTGTATATAGTTTTGTATTTATCTGGCCTCGTGAAGTTACCAAACAATGCGGTTCATAAAAAGTATGAAGTTTTTCTTAAAATTTACAGTAGTAGGCTTACCTGAATGGGAAAGATTCCAAACTGGATGGATCACCAAACTTTAGCCTGTTATCCTAACAAAAAATCCTTATTAGGAATAATATACCGATTTGCATCCCTATAAAATTGTCCTATGGGCACCCTTGCATCATAAGGCTAACAAGTGATTTAAGACCACTTTAAATGTTCGACAGTTGGTCACCAACGAAATCCTCCTGGGTGAAAGTTGCCCATTGTGTGTCCAGACGCGAGCTGCTGCCTTACAGGTCGCAATAGGAGCTGTCATTCCTCTGCTGTCTACTCCGGTCGCTGCATTCTTTGTAAGTTATCAACAACGTACTGGTTTATTGTGTTATTTAAAAATTACTCGCTTTTTCTAAATGCTGTAACTAATGATAAACATCAGCTGATAAAAGAAGAAAGAAAAGGGTTTTGAGAGGTGAAATTATTCTTAATTTGACCAAAGGCACAAGAGCGTACATACTTTATCGAGGAGTAAAATACAGAAGAAAAATTCAATGTTTCTCTTTTAAGTGGTGTCCAGGGTCAAGCCGAACATTGATCCTTCTAACCCTATCGCCAACATTTACTACATCGCTCGACGCTCACGCTGAGGCGACCTTGTGCCCTGAGACCTTCGCACTTTACTCGCTGCTCGGGATCTTCCTTGCTCTATCCCAAAAATATTATTTTGCGGTCTATCTTTTCTTGACATCTATTTAACTTCTATTAAAAGAATAATATCATAGTTTACTAAAATGATGAGAAAGATGAGCTTTTAACAATTGGTTTGGTTCCCCTAAACTGCCTAAACTATAGGAAATACCCAGTATTTTTCACGCTGAATTCAATAAAGGCTATCAGCAGTAAGAAAATCTTCTCACCTTCCTTCCTTTTAAATATTAGTCACTGCAAGTATTTAAATATAGGCCTACATAAAGTTATTAATGAAAGATATTCATAAAATTTTTCATCCCAATGCAAACATTTTCTTTTGATAACAACAGTTCATAAAATTTTTCATAACTACAAAAATGTCCATATTGATATTGACACCTTCACTGTCTTTTTGGCCATTGTGATTAATATCTGTGGGGTTAAGGGTGTTTAAAGAAAATTGACGATTTCAGGTATGAAACAATGCTTTATTTTAAGCAATGATCAGTAACAAGATAGCTACTAATTATTTTAATTGAATAAAAAAACTTATGAGGATGATCAACAAATTTTGTAACAGACGTAAATTATAATACTGGTAAGGGCTAAAACTTGTCAAACCTCTCAATCTTGTATTTAAGCTCATGGTTGAAAATATCAATAACAGTAAAAATACTTCTGACTATAATTATTCATAAATTATGTTTGAATAATATAACCCAACTGTTTTATTTTTCAGTACGCTGACGCCTACAATACGTACAATGTACCTAAACCTGGATTGAAAAACATACCTCAGTTTTTTAGTCTGTGGTTAGTCCTTCTTCGAAAGATGAAGTCAAAGTTGCCCATTATCATCGGGATAAACGCAATCACAGCTGCTACGCTGACTTACTATGAAGCCGACTCGTTTTACAAAATGCAGAGTATAATTTATGAGAATGAAGAAAGGTTCAGAAGAAATTTAGAAGAAAGTAGGTCGCAAATCTAAGATAATGTCAAAACTGTACATAGATTCTATTAAATTGTTGCTAGTTTTTCTAATTTTGCTGCTAGTATCAGTTGATTTCTTGACCCCTTTATTCTAATAATAGTATGATGCAAAATCTGATGAATGATTCATATTCAAACTGTTCCCCGCAAATAGATAACATTTAGTTTAAGAAATCAAACATACATTTGGATTTACCAATACCATATACAAAAATAATCAAATATAGACCGTCAGCTCGGCTGCGGTTACCATAGGTTCTGGCGCACACCGCTAGGAGCGCCATGTAGTTACGGCGTACGCGCTACGTAAACTACACGGCGCTCCTAGCAGTGTGCGCCAGAACCTATGGTAAACATGGTATAGCAGCTAGGCTGACGGTCTGTATTTAATTCTTTTTGACTATGCTAATACTGACAAGTTTACCAATATAACTAGGCCTAAATTCAACATATTTCACACTATATCCCCACACAATTTCTATGTTACCTAATTTTTGACAAAGGTTTATGAGAAAAGTTGAAAATCAAATTAGGCCTACGTTTTATAAAAAATATAGTACATAATCAACTTGAAGGATACCTTAGTGAAAATCACATTTTGTATAGTAACCTTTACTCAATATTTACTTAATGTACACATTCTTGATTTTTTTTATAAACATTTTACCACTGCAAGTTTTGACCAGAACTTTAATATCGTACACTTCATAGTATAAACATGTAGCAAATGGTATGAATTGAACACCCTAACATATCTAAAGAATGAGTTTCATCTAGCCTACAAACCTAGTCTAAAATAAATTTAATATAAAAACAGTATTTACACTATTTACAGAGTATCTAATGCTAATTACTAAAGCTGTTTGGAAAGTAACTTCTACGGGACACAGGTAGCTGTATGGTAGTGAGAGTAGCGTACCTGCAGCAGATCAATCGGCCTCCAGCCATGGTAGAATCGTTCATTTTGGTTTTGCAGCATCTCAAAATGTGTGGCTTGATAGACAATCTCTCCAAGTGTAAGGTTTGAGCTGTTATACAATTTTTAACTCCAAATATATATTCGTCTTATGATCAGAAGTCTAGGATCAAAGCCCAAACATACGCTTAATCTTAAAGGCTGAGCAAGATTTCCCTTCCAGGAAACTCATGGCAATCATGTTTTGTGATGCATGAGGAGTTTCACATGTTTAATCCATGAAACAGTAGAGTAGTCCTTATAAAAATGATTGGGTTTTAAAGGTGAAGAAACTTGGAGATTTTTATGAACATGGAATTAGTGAAAGTAGTGAAGAAGTGCAACTGTTTAAGTATATTACTGACACAAGTTACTTTCCAAAAGGCCCTCTTGATTCAAACTTTGTCGTTTTAACCTATTTACTCATTTGTTATACAGTATTTCATACAGACACCATTAGATGTTTTTGACTTGGCTGAGTTGATTGTTTCTAACCTTGGCGAGGTTTGGCTAGATTGTTCGACACTGTTGCGACCAGTTTCTCTGATGTCCAGTGTTGCAGCTTTGCTGACACTGTTGATACTCAGCTCTGTTGGAAGACTTTCCTTTACTAAAGCTGACCTTGAGAAAATCATCGATGAGATCGTTTTAGCTAAGAATATTATTCCCAAAATAGCAAAACAAACGCCTACTGCTACAAACTGGAACAGAAAATATTTCAAATTAGCTTAGTTAAACAGTGGAATAACCTATACCTGACCGAGAGACAGTTTAAACTTTTTTCCATCAATCTTCAAGTACCGGTAATAATTACCCTGGTAATACCTTTTACTAGTTTACGTAAATGAAGTTAAACTCGTTTTAAACATTTTAGAAGTTGTATTGATGGGTCAAAGCCAAATCCACCAATGGCAATTAAAACATTTGATCATCTGGACTCCTGCACAAAATAATATAGTCAGAATCGGTTTTCAGAGATTATATGTTGTACTTTACAAATTGTATTGACAGTTTGAGTTTGAGGACTGAATCTTTTAAGATTCAGATTTGTAATCTTGAATTTGTCCTATCATTTGAGTAACAAATCGTAATGTAAACAATGTCTACTGCAATCACAAAATTTAGGCAGGGTTAGGGAAAAAATTATCTCCTCCACTTCATCCGACTTTCAAAACAATACCTCAACAGCTGAGGTTTGCCAAAACGTCAATCAGCTCCAACATACTTTAAGCAAAAGAAAAGTGGTGGGGGAACTATGCCTCGAACCGCATACATTTTGTGAATGGACTATAGTAATAGCCTTTGGTTCTTGCATTAATGGTTGTCCCCCAATGTTTGACTACGTTATCAATCAACTATTCGCTAAGGGATGGGGTTGACTGAAAAAAGGCATTACTCAAAGGTAACTGATGATTGGGTATTTTGGTCCTAATATCAATTATCTTTTACTATTGATAGTCAGTGATACAACACAGTTACACTCTCATCCTAATCCCAACATGTCAAAGACAATGTTTATAACTGATGATTGATTACCTACCTGATCACGGATAGGAAGAGCCAAAGTGTTCTTGGAAGTCAAAACATATGTTAGAATACCTTGGAAACCGATTGATAGGAATGTATTGATCCCAAAGATGAGCCCAAAACTGTCATTCTTCACTTGCAGCGCTATCTGTGAACTAATTTTAAATTCAATAACTTTGTTTGTTGATTTCTACTGAAGAGTTACCTTAGGTTATAAAGTTTAACCGCTAATGCAATAGTACAAAATTTTTCATTCACATGGACCAGCGACACACATATGCGACGGCCGGTTTCCACCCATAGACTGCCGTCGCGTATATGCGACAGCTAGTCACATTAAAATAGACTGCCGTCGCATATTTGCGTCAGGGTTCTAATGTTATTAAAATGCTTATATCTTTGTAACAGTCTATTTGAAGGCACTGAATTCTCTGCAAAGGTCTACAGAGATGTCTGACGCACAACTGCGTTGCTTGGTCTGTATGGATATGATGATTGGTGACGTCATATGATAGTTGGAAAAACTGGTCTTTACTTTTCTGCATCACTGTATGTAAGTATGCAGTATGTATGCTGCAGTATCCTATTTAGCTTTTATAAGTTCAGTTATAACTGTTCTTGAATAATCTGTTTTTTTTTTTTACTTACTTTCACCTCAAAGCACAAACAAAAATGAACTGTCGCATATTTGCAACGTTTGGTCTATTTCAAGAAAACTATGATAATTTTCACTATTCTCTTCGCTGTAGACCGGGTGTCGCAAATATGCGACATTACAAAAGGTTATAAAAAAAAAACAAGAATAAATTATTTACAAACAAGATTGTAGCGTATTACAATGTAATCACTATTTTACAGGTTTTCACCCGTGGTCTGTGTGTACTGTTATCTAAGTGACAGCAAGTTAAAAAGTACTACACTGCTATTAGATGTGGACTTAAGTTTGGAAGTAAAATTTATAGAATCAGTAGGCCATAAGAAAATGTGTTTGGATAAAATTACACAGACCGTTTGTACCTGTAAAAGTGTACAAGGAACATTTAAAGAAGAAAAACAATCCTTTATGAAAATAGTAGTAGAAATTGAAACTAATGCTTCACTCTTGTTTAGCATGAAACTATATTACATAGATTTGCATGTTATACTTACTTGCTGATGACAGTCATGAAGTCATAAAGTAGAGAAGCAGTGATGTAAAGTCCGTAAGACATTATGATGGACGAGGATTGAGCTGAAGCGAAGAGAGCCATTGCTTGTACCAGGGTACAAACTGCAATGACAATCTCCCCGTGGTTCTGCCAATCTATCTTCAGCTTGCCCACCATGAAGCATATTATGGTGCCTGTAACATGTACAATATGTTGTATAAACGTGCAAAAAAAGTAGTAACAGTCATTTTGTGCAAACATAATTGGAAAAATGTTTTGTGAAGTTTCTAACTAATTCTATGGAAAATCTCCATACAAATTGTAACGTATTGCTGTGTATTGTTTCAAATAACTTAAATCATTATTTTATTTATGGAGGGGAATGACAGGGGAGTGGATAAAGATGAAGAATATAAATTGCAAAAGAATTTGTACAACCAGTAATTCTTTCTAATATGTTTCTTCGTTCCAAGCTTATGGTAAACATAAGATATTCAAGATTCGTGGTCTTCACGCAAAGACTACCAATTAAAAAACCCATGGAATAATTGAATCAAGTGGAAATTAAAACCAAGCATCACCAATCTTCAATGATGGGCTTAAATGATCTTCATAAAAAAATCAGCTGATCTTAGCCTGTTACAGCTGTTTTTAATTCCTTCAATACCGATCCGGGCCCCTTCACTAATTTTTATCTGTACACATACAACCCCGTGAAATTAAAGCTAACCACTGTTAGAAAGATCTAACTTAATTAACACTCACTACAGCAGGCGTAGATGGCTTCTACTCCAGCATTGTATGTGTTTTGTCTCGACCCTGTAACATCGTTCCACAAGGCTTGCACGTAGTAATCGCACACCTGTTGAGATAAATGATACTTAGATAAAGTACAGTATTTTATATATATCAAAGTCAAGAGCTGCTATAAGTGATAGAGCATGCATAACCCTTTGCAGTAGTTCCTTGAACTGACGCGACTGGCCACTACCATCTTGTCTCTAATCTCTATCATTTGCCCTTGTGACTCAATGGTACTTTACTGAATGTTCTGCGTGGATTTGAGTAGAATATTAGTACATAGGCCTAATTAAGCGTGGTTGAGATTTGTTGAAAGCAACAAATATATTTTATTCTATATCAATATCATAGTAAGTCACTTCTCTAATTTATTATTAGAGGAACAGAATGTGGGACTGATCACTGTCTAATCCTAGCCAAGGTAAACCAAAAAATAGCTGTTGAAAGGAGGAAGGAAGAAATACAAGAAAGACGAATAGACACCGAAAAGCTTAAGGGTAAACCGATAGCTGATGAGTTTAGAATAAAACTAGAGAATAGGTTTAAGATTCTAGAAGACTTAGATAAAGACAGATGCCAACAGTACTCGGAATAATTTTAAAGAAGCAGTCCTAGATTCGGCAGAAGAAGTATGTGGAAAGAAAAAGAAAAGAAGCAAAAGACCGTGGTTTGATCGTGAATGTGAACAAATGTTGGAAGAAAGAATTAGGAGGAAAAACGTATGGATGAAAAGCAACAATGAAGAAGACAGGGTGATGTACAACCAGTCAAATAAGGAGACAAATAAATTCCTGATGAGGAAAAAGCGACAGTATATTAATAGATTAATAGATAAGGCTGAAGAAGAAAACACAGCAAACAATGCAAAAGATTTTTACAGGAAAGTAAGATTAAAAAAAAAAAAAAACAGATTCACCCCTCGTACATATGGAGTAAAGAATAAGGAGGGACAACTACTAACTGAAAGTGTCAAGGCCCGAATGTGAAAGGTGGCGCGAATATTTTAAGGAACTTCTGTGTTGAAGAAGAAAATCAAAGTAATGAGGACATTTACTTTATGTTGAACCCTTTATCGAGACACCAGCAAAAGAAGAAGTACAATATGCAATTTTAAGTCCCTGAAAAATGACAAAGCTCCAGGAAGAGATGAATTAACAGCAGATATATTAAAGAGAAGAGGAAAAATAATAGCAGAAAAGCTGTGGAATCTAATTTCAAAAATATGGGAACAAGAAGAAATGCCAATGGAGTGACAGGAAGCAGTCGTTGTCCCTATTCATAAAAAGGGCGAGAAAGAAGTTTGTGATAACTATAGGGGAATCTCACTGCTTAGTATCCTATGTAAAGTTATCTCAAAAATGATTTTAAACCGTCTAGAACAATACTCACACGAGTTGGTAGGTGAGCATCAAGCGGGGTTTATGAAGAGTAGATTGACAACTGAGCAAATATTTATCTTAAAAGAAATAGTAACCAATTATTAGGGAGTTCAATAAAGAATTTTATGCCTTATTTATTGACTTTCAGAAGGCTTACGACAGCATAAGAAGGGACAAATTGTGGGCACAGCTAAGAAAATTTGGCATACCGAATAAAATTATAGCCCTAATTAAAATGAGTATTTCAGGATCTAAATGTTCAGTTAGAATTGATGGTCACAACTGCAACCCCTTTGAAGTAAACTCTAGTGTCAGACAAGGAGATGGGCTATCACCGATCCTATTTAATTTTGCCATTGAAGAAGCTCTACAGAAGGTAGCAGAGAAGAACATATGAGTGAAAATATGAACCAAAATAAACATCTTAGCCTTTGCAGATGATGTGGTTATAATCACAGAAAAACTAGAAGATCTGAAGGCCTTAACCGAAGTATTTATGAAAGAAACAGAATAAGTAGGCATAAAAACAAACAATTCAAAAACTAAGTACATGCACTTTTCAAGAAACCTGGATAATACTGAAGAACCCATAGAAATTGATGGCCATACATTTGAAAAAGTCAACAGTTATAAATACCTAGGAGTAATTATATCTAACCAAAATAATGATGAACTAGAAATCCAAAGCCGAATAAATTCAGCAAATAAATGTTTTCATGCTTGCAATAAATTACTTTCATCTAAATCTTTGTCCCGCAAAACAAAAATCAGGCTGTACAAAACAATAATTTGCCCAGTTCTCCTATATGGATCAGAAACCTGGAAATTAAATAAAAGAGATGAAAAGAAACTAATAGTATTCAAAAATAAAATGTTAAAGGAAGATTTTTGGACCAATATTTGAACAAGGAGAATGGAGAATAAGACACAATAGGGAATTAAGGTAACTGTATAATAGAACAGCTAGATGTAATTGGAGAAATCAAGTGCCGAAGAATCAGATGGGCTGGTCATATAATAAGAAGAGGTGAAGATTGTAGACTGGGAAGAGTTTTAAAGGGAAACACTACAGGAAGACGACCCCGGGGAAGACCTGAGCAGAGGTGGTGGAAGCAAGTGCAAGAAGATTTGGAGAGGATTGGGGCAACGGAGGATGATGCGAAAGACCGGTTAACTTGGCGAAGATTTGTTGGTGCGGCCAAATATCACCTCCGATATAAATGGCCCTGGGAGTAAGAGTAAGAGTAAGTAAGTCACTTCTCACTTGTATTGGTGATATTTCTCTCCGATACTGTTACAATTACGGTACCCTAGTTTTACTCATTGACCAATTTTTAAAAGCATCAAAAATATCAGTTCAATAAGCAACTGATAATTACAAAGTAAAGTGTATGCCTCTACCAAACACACATATTTACTGCTGAACTGAAGCCTGTTTTTTTCATCTACCACCTTTACATCCTTGGACGATTAGCCAACTAGCCTTGGTTCTAGCCTGGAACCGTTTCACACATTGCCTGTGCTCTACCACTAGAGCCCCACTTAAGGCTGGTTGTGTGGTTTTACATTATTCACAGTTAGTTAAATTGCACTGTAGTCAACTACTAAACAAATCTGACCATAATGACTTTATATTTTTACAGCTGTTTGATATCAACCCAAATTTTCAAAACATCAAGGTTTTAGTTCCTGAAAATTTATTTCTACCAATAATGGTTTGAAGCAGTACCAACTGGAAGGCTCCGTTAGACAAGATCCAGCACACACACCATTTGAGGGTGTTTACATTGGAGGCTGCAAACTTGAGCTCCTCCCAGAGTAGGCGGGCGGCATGACGATATCTCTGACAGCCTGCCACAACAAATTATGTTTGTAATTTAACCAGCCACACTCAAAATGGCTGTGTTATGCAGTTGGCTCTTAATAAGACACATGATGGTCGGACACGCTCTGTGGTCCAACGCCTTGGTGTATACATTGGATGATGTTTGGACAATATCAAAATGTGATCAGAACCTGGATGAATTTGTCTCAAAGCCACCCCTAGTCCGACAAGGGTTCTACCACTCTCGCTTTGCGGCAAAACCCTGGTACATAAGAGAGACACAAGAACCAATAGTGTAGACTGTGGAACCTCAATAACAAGTAAGTGATATGATATGTTCAAATACCATTTGATTTTATAGCCTACTCTTAATTATTACAAGCTGTTAACAGACCTACAGGTAAAAAAACTTTTTACAAGAATAAATATACTAGTCAAATAGGGTTTTGTAAAATATTCTTTCATAATAATTTCTAAACTAGAAAAATATTGAAATCCTTGAAATAGGAGAAGAGTACATAAAAACCACATACCCCTAGGCTTATGTGTTTACTTTTCTTTAGCTCATAGGTTAATTTTAGTATTTTGTCAACAATCCTTGGGAATCCTCCTTCCAGTGTTGGAAATGTTGTTTTTTTATAAAATAAATATTTAACTGTAGTTTTACTTTTGATATAACATGGATTGTTCTACGATGTATTATACAATGTATACCTTTAACGCCTTGCTTTTCAAGAGAGTTTTTGTCGGCCGAGTAAGCAGTGCCTTCCACTGATGGCAATGCGAGCGCAGTCAGGAATGAAGCACTGAGTGCTAGAAAAACACATATCAATAAATATATTGATTCCTAAGTACAGTATTTTCAAAGTCAAGAGCTGCTATAAATGATATCTAGAGCATACATAACCCCTAACTCTAACTAGTGGTTTACATTATGCAGTTGTTAGGAATGTGTACTCCATTAATTAGCTGTCATCGTATTGAATGTTATTCTTCCAACCAGCCCTTGAAGCAATTAGGTATGAAAAGTTTTAAGGGGCAGCCAAAGTGTTAAAGAATTGTTTTAAAGGGGGTAGAATTCTGCTATAGCTTACCTGAGAGACCGGAGGCTGAAGCTTATATACTTATATATAATATTATATTGTTTGTTTTTTTAAACCTGAATATTGATATTAGTGAAGAGTGAGAGTGTAAACACCAGCTGTTTATTTAATTTATTAAAACCCTTGTGATCAAGGACAGCTGAGTGGTTTATTTACCAGAACTGAGCTTTCTTGGGAATGATACAGAAACCTACAGATACACACTATTTCTTCTCAAATACCTATAAAAGAATATCTATTTATACTACCGGTACTTACTTTTAGATAACTAGGGTACAAATCACATAATATAGTACAGCTGTAGCCAATTAAATAAACGGTATCAGCAACCTGACACATACTTTCTCCTATTAGCTTGTCATCAACCTTGATCATGAATAAGCGATGACAAAAGTTACATTATCTTTTGAACCATTATATTTACAGGAATGGGAGTTCTACTATTATGTTCAGAATCTAAAGGGCTACAACATACTAAATTTTGTCAAAATTATTAGGGCCATTTTCGAGAAAATTCTATTTTTCCATACTTTTATGGGAAAATCAGCATTAAAAATCAAAATATCAAAAGGGAAAAATATCCTGGAGATATCATGGATTAGTACCAACATACCAAATTTAATCAAAATCGGACTACAGATGTGGCCTGTAGCTCTGTAAACATCCACACATACAGACAGGCCCCCCCCCCCACACACACACAGGAGTGAAAATTTAAAAACGTACACGTTTTCATGTCCCTGGCCTTTTACTTCGTAGATACTGGATTTGTAGTTTATTATTATGTGTTTTAATATTTTTTGGGACGGGGACAACATGTTACACACATTTATTTAATTTTAAATAGGTTCTAGGTATTTTTTTCGTATTTTCAAAGTCTCAAAATTCACGACCATGACGTGTCCCTAGGGTATATTTTCCAACTTTCACGCTGTTTTTAGACTAATTATTCATCCCGAAATATATAAAGCCATATTTTTATGTCATCAATGGTTATTAAACTTACAAAAAAGGAGCATATTATAATTTTATTGTCATTGCAAACTGACTACCATGACAAAATAAGTCTGTCCCTCGATTTGGCGTCACGACCATTTGGGAAAAATTTTCAACTTTGGAGCACGACAGGGGCAAGCCTGGCGTCGATGGAGTCAGTTGGTTTTAGAGACTAGTTCGGGGTGTACGTCAGGATTGTAGTGCCGGTCATTTCGAGTTGAAAGGAGGAATTACAAGATTAATAAAGGAAAGATTGTGTTTTTTTGTAATTTTGGTGTGTCCATGACCGTACGTAGTCATTCGATGAAGTAGACATGGTGTTAATTTTTGTTTATAAGATATTTCAATTGCTAGATTAACCTAGAAGTTCACTTTGTATCCTCGAACATGAGGTGCAGGGCTACCGCCAGAACAGAGCCAAATAACACGTAATTTCACGACCAAAGTTTCACGACCATCGCAGGTTTTTTCACGACCAATCCAGCCTTATGGATTATAGTGTATTTGGTCGTGACAATAACTTTAATATAATTGTAATTTGAACAGTTTAGTTAAATTGAAACACTTATTTTTATTATAACTAACAGTATAATTGAAGGATTGTTTAGAAAGATTTAGATTATTTCAGAAAATTCACGACCGTACCGCTTGTCCCTGACCATCACGTTTATGATTTCTATCATAAAAATTTCAAAAATTAAAATATCGTCATATTTCAATGTTTTATACACAAAAAAAGCACACCTCTATACAAACATAACGATTTTTCGGGTCTCAGGTAAGTTTTTTCGGAGTTATACAATTTAAAAAAATTTTATTGGCTTTTTTTCAATTTTTTGAGTTTTTTTATTTTTTTCTAGAAAGACCAAATATACTAAAAGCTCAGTGACCTTTTTATTGTATAATGGTCATAGAATTAAATTAGTTTACAGCAAAACATAGTTACACAAATAATATTAACTATTTTTAATATTCATTTAAACGTCTGTTATGGTCGTGACAAGATTTTGTGTTTTTCCACTAAAGATGCTCTTTTTTTTAAAAAAAATACCAAAGATATTGCGTTACCATGGACATTTTATGAAACTTCAAATGTTAATGAAATAAAAATAATAATAAAAGTTTTGAAAAAATGGGAAAAAAATTTGCAAAGTGCTTTTCCTGAAAACGTACGTTTTTAAATTTTCACTCACAGATCACTTGGAAGACCACTTTTTTGGGTTCAGGGGGCTACAAAACAGGATACATCCACTAAAAACTCAAACTCGAAAATTTAACAAAAACAATACTTTCTCCATATACTATGTATAGGGATAAAGTAATAAGAACATAAAAGAAGTGAAAAGCCCCTATCAAAGCATCTGTCAAAATTATAATCCCCTGTGTTTTAAATAATAGAAGTTTTAATAAGAGTTTTGGGTGGAACATACATTTTGGGTCCCCCTGAACCCAAAAAAGTGGTTTTCCAAGTGATGTGTGTGGGTGTGTACAGAGCTACAGACTACACCTGTGGTCCGATTTTGATGAAATTTGGTATGTGGATACTAGAATACATGGCATATCCAGGCGGGTTTCAATTTTTTTTATATTTGAACTTTATAGTAATCCCTCCATTGAATTTTATAGTAAAAACCCATAAATAATGGTAAAACAGGATTTTCATAAAAATATGGCTCTAACAATTTTGATTAATATTTACTACTAGCAGAGTACCCGTCCTTCGTACGGGATTGGCATACAAGTATAAAATACTTATTGCAGTTATACTCAAGCTTTGCGTTTGCAATGGGGGAGGACACAATTTGATAAAATTTGCTTCTTTAAATTTACAGTATACAATGTATAGTATTTACAATATTACACATCTACCATGGCCTTAATATTCTACAACTTCCCATAAACAAAAGAGAAAAATAAATTGGTAAAGATTCACAAAATATCACATATGATTCATGAAATTAAAAACATAAAAGTAACTGTAAACAATCCTACTTTGACAGTTCTCATTGCATATCATAGTTTTTTGTTGCTGCTTAGTTCAAATTAACTGTTTCCATAAATGCCAAAAGGTAATAGTGCTGTACCCTGTTGGTAAATCTTATAACTTATGCTTTTATATGCCTAAGTGTTAATCGGGAATGTGAGCTATCATCATGCCAAATTTCAGCCCAATCTGTCCAGTATTTAATGCGTGATTGAACTTCAAACAAACAAACAAACATACAAACAAACACACAAACTTTCACATTTAATATTAGTAAGATAAGATAAGATGTTATGGTCCTTTTGATCCTAAACAAAATGGTAAAACTCCAAATGCTGTAAAATTTGGATTGAAAATTTATTGCAGCTTTTCTAATTTCCCCCATAAAATATCACAGTTGCTCCCAACCCTTACTATAAGAGTTGTTAAGTTAATGAGAGAAAGCATGTGTCAGATTGCTGATTCTGTTAATTTTCAATAGTCAAAGCTTACTGCTTATAGGTTACCGTTACCTACCAACAAAAGAGATTAGAATTAGGCTCTGGACAGTGACGAAATGGGTTGACATGAGAAACTGAGCTAAGAGTGCCGAGACCAAAGTTCCCAGTTTTGGAGTTATGTGCACTACAGCTGTCACTTGCTGGTAGTTATGTTTCTTAACTTGAGTGTAGATGTAGGTACGATAAGCTACTTGGGACGCTCGGTAAAAAGCAAACAGCCCCTGAGCAATCTGAAAAAAAAATATTATAAGCTAAGCTTGTTGCAAACAGAATAGTTACAAAAGCTTTGAGGCTAAGAGTTAATACTAAGGGAATTTTTTTGTTTAAAATACTCTAAAATTGTTTGCTAAAATATTTTAACCTTGATAGTTCCCTATACAGCTTATGTCTTGGCAGCAGCAAGTTCGGAAGTCACAAAAAAAATCAAAACCATTTTATTGAATTTGTTACCCGTTTTTATGAATTTTCTAGTTTCTGGGGACTGTGCAATATTCAATATGCCTCTTAGTTTGATCGTGAACAGTATTGCGTTAGGTAAATTAATTCAAAGGTAAGTTACATGCTAACTCCATTTTCCTAAACATTATAAAATTCATAACACATGATTAGTGGTGTTGTATTGCAGGCATAAAAGGAACACCTACCCACTCTGCAATTTATGAGTGTTTTCTTAAATCGCCCTTCAAATTTACTTCCCATTGTCAAACCCCAAAATCATTCTATAATTGAAAGTAATTTGGAATTTGATTAAATTATACATAAAATACTAGCTGGCCCGACAGACGACGTCCTGTCCTAATGTGGTTATACGTCAAATGCTCATTCATTTTCAAGATGAGCTCATTCGCATGACACAATCACGTCCTGGTTGAAGTTCGTTCGCTACGCTCACTCACCTTTAGGTTGGAGCTCGTTCGCTGTGCTCACTTGCCTTTAGGTTAGCTCGTTCGCTACGCTAACTCGCCTCCAGATTTAAGTTCGTTCGCTTCGCTCACTCACCTTTTGGTTGCAAATTAGCTGTTGTCATAAATTTAAAAAAATAATGGTGCTGCACCTTGTTGGTAAACCTTTTAACTTTTTAATGCTATTGAGCATCACAGAATCAAATTGTTTAGTTAAACCAGCTGTTAAGATTCTTTAATTCCATTTAAATATGAGTTCTCATAAGGTTAACATGGGGAACTCTACAGCCACTGGGGCGGAGCCCTTTTGACGGATCTGCACCAAACTTCACACAAACCATCCTTGAATAGTGCTTAATAATGCCTGAAAGGTTCATTACAATTTGTCAAGCGGTTTTGGAGTCCATAAAGGACAAACAAACATACATACATTGGATTTTATATATATAGATTACCTGAATATGTGCAACGGTAGTTCCAAAATATAGAACCGGACACTTCACTGCAGATGCTAAAGCTCCTAAGATGATAATGGTTTTGTATTGAAGAATGTCTGTGACTAGAAGTGCGACAAAGGTGAAGAAAAGATTTGTGTAAGCCATGACTGCGTAGATATCTTGAGTTACCTATACACATTGTAACACACATTGTACACACATTGGCTATACACATTGTAAAACAGAACTTTTACAAATTTGTTCTTTTTAGCGAATTTCCCATATAGGGAATAAGCTATTACCGTAGTACTCATGGTAAGACCTGGACCCGCGACCAATTTTTTTTTTGTTTTGAGGTCCCTAGAGGCCAAAAACACCATCCGTTCAAATTCATATATATATATATATATATATGCAAAATAGAAAAATAGGGCTACTATATATAAATAAAGATTAAACGTTAATAAACTTAGTACCCAAGTAAAATTATTTATTAAAATATTTACTGACTATAGTTTCGGCTCTAAAGGCCATTTTCAAAGTAAACAAAAATCAAATAAGATATGTAAATAAATAAATACCATATGATATTATAAAACTTTTCTAACTTGTAACATAATTTTGTCTTCATTGATTAATTTATATACTATATGATGTGTTGTACTTATTTTCATTAATATTTTCTCAATTTTGTTATTGTTTCATATATTGGATTATTCAATTTTGGAATCATTGTATTTAAAATATTTGATTTGTTATTTTTGTAGTTCATATAAATATTAATTTCTTCTTTTACATTCAATTTTTCTCTGTCTTTTTCAATTTCTAATATTGTTAAGTTTTCTTCGATCTTAGTTAAACTTATGTTTGGATTTTAGTAAATGATCTGCAAAATTTGATTTCATTGATGTTTTGTTCTTCGATTTATATGCCTGTATATGTTCTATTTGAACGAGTTCGCGAACCAGCATGATCGGACCATGGGAACGGGGGTTTATGGGGGCTTTTATGGGGTAAAAATGGGTTTTTCCAATTTTTGACCCAAAAAACATAAAATTTTGCAATTTCTTTCCAAACTATTTTGTAGAGCTTAAAAAAACAAATAATTTAGTATATTGAAGCGTTGTAATGCGCCTAATGGTTACGGAGAAAATTCCAAAAAATTGTTCATTTAAAATTCCCATGTTATTCTTATGGAGAATAAGTAAACTGTTGTAGTTTGCTTGTTTATTAACATATTTTGCCCAAATTTGGAAAATGTTTTTATTTCCTACTAACAATTAACATTTTACATAAAAAAACACTTTTACCCTCCCTGTTGCAGCAAACCTAAGTATGTGTTAAACTGATTCTATTTAAATAGGGAATAAATGTGATATTGTTAAGGAGACATTTTAGAGTAAATCCAATCAGGCAAATGGAAATTCGCTTAGTCTGCAGGTTTGCTGCGGTGGGGGTATTGTATTTTAAAATTTGATTGTTCCAAACATCTGTTATTCTCAGCTATTACGTTTTCCAATAGCAGTCTGTTTACTAATCATTTTGTTCCTTCACTCTTGAACAAACGTGTCATTTGTCAAATAACTTAGTAGAAATGGCTGTTTTTTTTTACATAGTGTTGTTGTACACCTAATGGAGATTTTTAAAAAATGTAAATTTATAATACCCATGTTAGGTAATCTTATGAAAATAAATCAACTGTTATTGTTTGCTTCAACTTTGGAGTTTTTTTAAAACTTCATACAAAGCTATAAAGAATTTTCAAAATATCACTCGTATTACCCTCTATATAACAGCATACCTATGAACTCATCGAAATTAACAGTATTTAAAGAGGAAATAAATCTGAAAATTGTTTAGGGAATACTGTATTTTTGTGTAAATCCAACTATCAGGTAAATGGAAATTCATTTAGTCTGCAGGTTTGCTGTGGTCTTTGTATATTTTAATTTTTGGTTGATTGATGACAGATTCGTTCAAGATAAAAAAAACCGTTCATGGCATACAATCTCTAAAATTATTTACTCAGTTAAAGATAATAGTGTGTAATTTTACCATTGTTTTAACATAGTATACTGGGGCTATGAAAAACAGCTACACTCACCTCAGCTACTGTTAAATTCTTTGGAGGGCTGAAAAGTATGTTGGAAAGATAAACTCCATCCGGACAAAAGTTTTTCAGGAATCCATATATTGCAATTGTTACTATTCCACACTGACAAAGCATGTTTGCTTTTTACAATAATGCTTTCCTGTAAAATATTGTACAACCTAGCCTGTAATTACAAAAATATAATAACCATAGATAAAACGATTAAATATAAAACCCTTATATAGATATATCATCTAAAAAATGTATTTAAATAGTCAATGCAACTCTGCATCCCTTTCAAAAATCCATGTTCTTACACGAAAACAAATTATGTTCTGTTTTATAATTGGTTCACGGGACTGTCTCAACTGGTTGACTAAAATGTGACCAAAATGTATAACTGCACAACTTTCAATGATATACTCTTTCATCGTTGGCTAGATTAAGTTTGGGTCGTGTGAACGAACAGTCCACGCCTTACGACAGGTGGTGATTCTCCCATCGGCCCCATCATCACTACTGGTGTGGCACAAAAGCCTGTTGACCAGCGCGCCACACTTTTGTATTCACTTAGTACCGTGAACGCGGCTTAAGGACAGCACTGATTAAGGCTGAGCCAACAATCACATCGGTCTTATGTGATTGTTGGACTTAGCTGAAGCACAGGAGCTGTTTGGACATGCCATGCAGTAGCTATTACTTCATGACATGTCCAAATGCCACTACTGAGATGGAAGGGCTAGAAGCACTGATTAATCTGTGTAATGTTTTAGTAACTAAACATTTAAAGAGTTCCTTATCAAAAAGTATACACTTCAGTATATCTTATTTATGCCGAGGTTACTGGAATTTTATCAAGGTTATTTCAGTTTATCCTAGTACAGGTAATGTACTTCAAGCAATGTTACTGGTGCTGGAACTAAAAACTAACACGACAATCAATTTGAGAAGTCATTAGTTGATATTCTGTCAAAACAGCATTCAAAAATTCATTCACATAACAGCATTAATATTGACTGAATTTGCAAAGGACCAACATTGTTGTAGCCTGATTTTGTTCATGAAAACCCTCAATCTCATTAAATTAAAGATTGAACCCCACAAAAACCACCGACAGCTCCTGAGGCAGTTTAAACGACAATTTAAAATATTTAATGAGCCTTTCAATTAAAACGCAAGTACTGTATAACTTTTTTATCCTAATCAACAATACCATCCTGCAGTTTCATCAGTAGTAGTTGTTACGTGTCCAGCGTGGGATAGTAGGAACACATTGTCTAAGAAGTGAATAACATATGGATAGGATTAACATAACAAGAAGTCCCTTGCGTTCCCGCTTCACCACACCACTGCATTTTATTAAACCAGATTATTTTTATAATAACACTAATAAAGCAAATCCAATCACTGTTAAACTATAGTTCGGCCGCTTAGAAAGCGACCTCCTCCAGCATTAGTTTAGCATTAGCGCGCAGGTCGTTTTCTAAGCGGCCGAACTATAGTAATACATTTGTCAATACCAATCTAAACAACATACCTGAACAAAAAATGCAAAGTGATGAAGATTGATCATACACTCACAACTAAATTTACTTCAACAACGAAAACAGTAAATGAATGTTTAAGTTTGGCCACATTATAAATAAAGATCAATTAAGTATCATCCGTTTCACAAGCCAGAGGGAAAACCATTACTAATATCAAGCAGATCTACTATCTTCCTGTTCAATCTAAGCTCTGTCTCATTGTCGTATTTATAGTAATTTAGAATCAAGCCTCATAAATGTTTAATGTCCTAAATAAGTTTCATTGAAAAACACCCTAGAATAATTGGTGATTCGTTTGAATAATGAATCAGTAACTATATCCTCCTTAACGAGTTTACAAACTATAGTTGCTCTGCCCGTGATTTGCAACGGGGGAAGAAGAGAACAGAGGAGAATAATGTGGGTCTCTACTGTAGGCTACTTATAATCAGTGTGCGTCTGTGCGAATCGGCTGCAAATCTCACTTCAACGCTTTTCACATTGTAAAAATTGCAAAAATTTCTGTTTCATTGTAAAATTATCGTATTTAAAATCCATATCGTATCTATGATGGAATAAAAACATATTTGGTCACACAACATTTGTTTTCAAGATGATTTTTCACATTAAAACTGCAAGAAACTTTGTCTTATGTGTAAATTAGCCGATATGAATTGTACACGGTTTTAACTTACTACTGAATTCCCGTACGTAGGACAGGCTAACACCTCGTAACTTTTTAATGCTATTTAATATCATAGAACCAACTTGAGTAGTTGAAACAGCTGACAAAATTATTTTATTTCTTTTAAATACTCATAAGGTTAATATGGGAAACTCCAGAGCCACTGGGGGCGGAGCCCAAAAGGACTTTTGAGATAAGAATTTGTCTATATGTTAATCGGGAATGTGAGCTATCGCTATCATCACATCAAATTTCAGCCCGATCCGACCAGTATTTTTTGCGTTTACTTGTCACAAACATACATACATCCAAACTTTCTCATTTATAATATTAGTAGGACTTTAAGCACTTTAAGCCATTCCCTCATAATGTATTCAAGTGCACAGTAAAAAAGAAGTTGTGAAAGGCCATCTCCCTGTCTCAAACCAGTTTTGACCAGGAAAGGTTCTGATATTTCTCCTCTAAATTTAATTTTATTGAAGGTATTTGTCAAGGTAAGTTCTATAAGTTTTATTAATTTTGAGTGGAGTCCGAAATGTCTGAGAATCTTTAACAATGATGGTCTATAAAATGGGATCGTAAGCTTTCTTAAAATCTACAAATGATATTGAAAGAAGTTTGTTTCGTTTTCTGTAGTAATCCATAATCAATTTCAGCGTAATTATTTGTTCTGCACAGCTCCTCCAAGGTCTGAAGCCTCCTTGGTATTCTCCTAGTTCATTATCAAGTTGTTCCTTAATCCTATTGTATACAATTTTTGAAAAAATCTTATTAGTACAATCCAAAAGTTAAATTCCTCTTTAGTTATCTGGGTTGCTCTTATCTCCTTTCTTGTGAAGTGGATTGATTATGGCTGTGGTCCAATGCTCTGGGAATTTCTCGGTTATCCAGATTTTTTGTAATATCATATGTAGAGATGTTTTTGTTGATTTGCCCGTATACTTCCACATTTCAGCATAAATTTGATCTTCACCTGATGCTTTATAATTTTTCATATCTTTTAGTGCTAATTCTACTTCTTGTATTGTAGGTGGGTTTAAATTTTCTGGATTTGTTTTTATGGGAGTGTTCGTATTCATCGTTAAAAGATTTTTAGGTTCGTCGCAGTTTAATAGTTTATTAAACGCTTCTGCCATAATTTCTGCATTCCCCTTGTTATTATGGGCAATTTTTCCGTCTTTGTTTTTCAATAGCAATGTAGGAGGGATGTAACAACGTAACTGTTTATTGAATGATTTGAAATAATCTCTAGAATTTGTTTTGAAGTAGTTTTCTTCTATTGATTTCAAAAGATTCTTCTGATATTGTCGCTTTGCATTCCGGATAATTTTGGAGCATTTCTTCCTGATGTTTTTGAGATTTGTAGCATTTTCTTCTGACTTTTGATTTTGAAATCTTACCCAGGCTTTATATGTCTTCTTCAAGAGCCACATCACATTCTGTGGTCCACCAAGCATGTTTCTTACGTCGATTCAGTGGGGCTACTTCTTCAGCATGTTGTTTTAAGATTGGTTTTAATTCTTCTAAATTATCAGTTAACTTTATTTCTTGTGTAATCTTCTTATATTGTTAATTTTTTATTAATTTGCGTGGGTCATATTTGCTTTTATTCTCACTTACATTTTGTCTCCTTTTTCTTAATGGGGTGAATTTAATTTTAATTTTCACTAGATAATGATCTGAGCCTGTATCAACTCCTCTTAACACCTTAACATTTTGAATTTCTTTAAGAAAGGATTTGTCCATGCATACATGGTCCAGCTGCCATTCTCCTTTGGTCCAATCAGGATGTTTCCATGTTTTTAGTTATTTACTTGGTTTTCTTTTAAAATATGTGGATTTATTGATAAGTCCATGCGTTCTGCAGATTTCAACTAGTCTCTGTCCATTTCTATTGGTTTGTTTCTGAGGGGCATATTTTCCAATTACATCCCTGTATTTCTTTTCTTTTCCCAACTGTGCGTTGAAATCTCCAATTAATATCTTAACGTGTTTCTTGTTAATTTGGTTTATTGTCTGATCCAAAAGATCCCAGAAATCTTCTACTTCTTCCATAGTTTTTGTATGAAAGTGTTTCTCATTTGTAGGGGCATGAGCATTAATAATAGTGTAAATTTTATTTGTTGTTTTTAACGTTAAGGTTGCAATCCGTGGTGAAACAGCATTAAAATCAACTATTGAATCTATTACTTTCAAACTTATTATGAATCCTGTTCCGAATTGGGGGCACTGTTTCATTACTTTATTTCCTGGTTTTCCATTGTAAATCCTATATCCTTGAGATTCAAATGGATCTTCTGTTGTATTCCTCATTTCTTGAAGTCCTGCTATAATGATCTTTTGTTTGTCTAGTTCATTCGTGAAGTTCTTGAGCTTACCAGTCTTCAGTAGAGAGTTTATGTTATGTCATAGATAAAACATACGGTTAGTCTATGGTTATGTGTCGCAATGTAGTTTACTTGTTTGTGTTTTATTTTGTTTGTATGTTTGTGATTAGAGTCAAGTGGTTTCAAGTAATTTGTATCATGTGAGCCTTTTAGTTGGCTACCCACCGAATCCGATGTAGCCTTCTACTTCCCCAAGGGGTTGGACAGTGGAAGTTTTTTTCTAAAAGACCTTTCCATGATTGACTGTCAGAAGTTAAACCTTCGGGTGGGCTGAAATTTGGCATGATGATAGCTCACATTCTCAATTAACATTTAGGCATATTCTTATCTCAAAAATCTTTTAGGGCTCCGCCCCAGTGGCTCTGTAGTTCCCCATGTTAACCTTATGAGGTTTCATATTTAAAGGGGATTAAATAATTTAGTCAGCTATTTCGACTTTACAAGTTTGATCTATAATATGCAATAGCATTAAAAAGTTATAAGGTTTCCCAACAGGGTGCTGCACTATCTATATATATAATACGCTAAGCCGATTTTTGTGAACAGAACTCCTCCCTCACTTTTGGACCGATTTTGATGATTAAAATGTCAAAAAAATTGCCCTGATCTGTAGTTTTGCAAAGTGTTTTTCGTTTTTTGATATCTTTATAAAGGCCGGTCTACACGCAAGGATTTCGCGAACGTTTTATCTGCGCAGGTAAAACGTTGCAGTCAAGTCGTTGCAAAGAAATGCGTCCACACGGTACAGGTTTCAGCACCAACTTTTAGTGCAGTTTTGTGATAACTTTCAGCGTATGTGCATGTAATATCATGGAAGATGTGTTTCTGCTGGCAATTTCTGCAGCCAGTGTTACAAGTAAGCAAAGAAATAAGTCTGAGAGACGACGGCGCTCGTATGGTCAAGACGTTGGTTACTAAAAAGACAACAAACTTCATAATATTTTCTCTGTTCACGTTTGAATCTACTGATTTGTATTTTTCAAAAGTATCTAAGTCTTTTTTCTTATCACAGTCACTATATTCCTTACTCTTGACCCTCCATAAATTAAGGACACTTCTGGACAGTTCAATTAATTCAACAATAAAATCACGGGAACATTGGCAAAGATCTGCGATCGTAATTAAAAAACACACTTATCCCTCTGACAGCACGTGAAGACAACACTGCATACTGGGGTTTTGAGCGTGAAGACGGAGTTGAAACGGATGACAGTGTCCACACGCAACGACTTGCCTGAAAACGTTGTCAAAACTATGCTCTCAGCAATAGTTTTATCGCTCCGTCTTCCGTCTCCGCGCAGTTCTCAAAAATGCACAGTTTTGCGGTACACACGCAACGATTTGACTGCAACGATTTACTTGCGCAGGTAAAACGTACGGTAAATCCTTGCGTGTAGACCGGCCTTTAGTTTGGGCAGGATCTTCCATCAAAGTTGCATTTTCTCCCATAAGATTAACATGGGGGAATCTAAAAATTTAATTGGAAACTTTGTCTCCACTAATTTGAGAGAGCGGCTGGGCGTAGAAACTTGGTAGGGGTGTCAAAAGAAAGGTCTTGGTCTGTAGATGGGTTATCAAACCAAAAACTAAGTAAATTCCCTTAGGGCTCTGCCCCAGAAGCCTTTAAAGATCCCTCTACAGATTTGTTTACATTTTGGCCATGTGGATAATACTTTTTAATGAAACAGCTGTTAATTTGTAAATTGTATTTTAAACAAGACACATTAATTGGGAGTTACTGAATTGTCCAAAAGAAGCATTTGTAATGTTATTTTCTGATTTTAAAATTAATTTTTTTCTGTATCATGTTATGTTTTGCAATATATACCATGACGAAATCAGTGGAAAATCCTTTTATCACAGTAACTCTTAAAATTATTTCTTATTGACCTTATATCTATTTTACGGGCTGGTGACTGCCCTTTTCACCATTTTTGTCTTAATTTTTATCATATTGTTCTAGACAGATCATCTTAGGTTCATGAGATTATTGTCATACATGTTTTCAATCATTGGAAAAATATTAAATTGTGT